GAGGGTGTCGACAAAGGCGGTCAGGTAAGGTCACCCGGGTGCAGGCTAAGGAAGCGGTCGCGGGCACTAGCTAGGCGTCCGGCAGGCGCATGGCGATAAATAAGGGTCATGCAGAATGGGGGGGGGAGACGTGTGCTGGGCAGCAGTGCTAGCAGTGCGTAGCGAGACTCTAGGGCGCGAAGTGAGTGGCAAAGTCTGCAACAGTAGGAAGGCAGCAAGTCTGGGAACAGCATCGGGAAGAGGATGCAGGCGTGGAATAGCAAGCAACAACAGCGTCTAAATAAGATTGGCCGTATCAATCGTAGCGAAACGCGAGCGCTCAGACACAGGGAGGCGTGACTGATAGACTGAGCTACTGCATCGCGGAGTCCCAGACCGCACAGGCAAGCGCAGCAGTAGAGAAAGCTCACTCTCAGCGGAGGTGGGTCAGCAGGGAGGGAGCAGGTGGCCCTCAGCGTCCAGGCGGACCACGAAGTCAGCCATCGTGCAGGGTCAGCGATACACTCCTCAGTGACACAACAGCACAGCTCCACAGCTCGCAGGAGCACATCGGCACGGGGACACGCGGCAGCACTCTCCAGTAGGGCGGCTGCAGGGGCGCCCCAGCGCGGGCTAGCAGAGGACACGGGGCCGAGGTGGCACGGCAGGCGAGCAGGCACGAGGAGGGGCCGGGCGGTCGCACTGGGACCGGGCAGGCGCTAGGAGGGGCTAGCACGCGCGGGCGGCCGGGCAGGCGCGACTGGGGCCGGGCAGGCACGAGGAGGGGCCGCGCGGACGCTGCTGGGCCGGCTAGGAGCGGGCTCGACGGTCGTGGGCCGGTCAGGAGCGGGCGCGTGGGGCCAGGGGGGTCAGCTAGGAGCGGGCGCGACGGCCAGTGGGGTCAGCTAGGGGCGGGCGCGAACGGCAGGGGGCCGGCTAGGAGCGGGCGCAAACGGCTAGGGGGCCGGCTGGGGCCGGAGTGACGGCCAGGGGCCGGCTGGGGGACGCGACGGCCAAGGGGCCAGCTAGGGGCGGACGCGACGGCCAGGGGGCCAGCTGAGGGCGGGACGCGACGGCCAGGGGGGCCAGCTAGGGGCGGACGCGACGGCCAGGGGGCAGCTGAGGGCGGACGCGACGGCCAGGGGGCCGACTTTGGGCGGACGCGACGGCCAAGGGCCAGCTAGGGCGGACACGACGGCCAAGGGGCCGGCTAGGGGCGGACGCGACGGCCAGGGGGCCGACTAGGGGCGGACGCGACGACCAAGGGGCCGACTTGGGGCGAACGCGACGGCCAGGGGGGCCAGCTAGGGGCAGACGCGACGGCCAGGGGGCCAGCTAGGGGCGGATGCGACGGCCAGGGGGCCGGCTAGGGGCGGACGCGACGGCCAGGGGGCCGGCTAGGGGCGGGCGAGAGACTAGGGCGCGGGCGGAAGCGGGCGGGTGAACCTAACCTACTCGATACCATGTTAGATTACGTGAATGAATTACTAGAGGGGAAACAGGGAACATATAGCAGTTGGGTTGTACTCACTAAGAGCACACACGATACTAGCCTATAACTTCTACATGCATGATATGTATAAGTTGACATAAGGGTGGTACACAAAATTAACTCTGAAAATCAGAGAATCAGAGTAATTTACTCGTGAAAAATAGGCACCCTGAGCAATCAGGGTACCTCAAAACCAATCTGATGCCCTGCTCTACACTCACAATTGCTTAATTTGACTAAGGCAAGGAAGCTCTCCTCCCTGCGCCATGCTTGGCCCTGCCATCTCCTCATCTGCTGCTGCACTTTCCCTCCACCTCCAGCACCAGCTTTTGGTACTCAGCAAATCCTGCCTCCGCTGCTGCCAGCCCCTTCACTGTATCCATTAGCTCATTCCCCTCTGGTTAAGGAACAGACATTCCCCTTGTCCACTTTCAGTCCGCGGGCACTGGTTTCAGCCAGCACCTGCTTCAGTACTGCCAACTCCCCCTTCATTGCAGCATCATGCATGCCCATGGCTTGATGCATGCCAATGACTTGATGCGTGCCCATGACTTGATGCATGCCCATGACTTGATGCATGCCCATGGCTTGATGCATGCCCATGCCCATGACTCACGCGTGTGACCACCTCATCAAGCATGCATGCAAGAGCAGAGGTGCCATCCAGGAATAACCCACTGAACGAAAAACCGGCAGGGCTCTCAGAATGAAATATGACAATCTAACAATGGCATGCTGACGTGGCATCTTCGGAATGACAGTTGTACTTACAATACAAGCAGCAGAGCTGCCACCTGGACGGGCGCTCCACCCCAGGCCTCCATGCACCCGCAGTGAAGGCGATCTGCGCACTTCAGCCTATGCGCTGGGGCTGGGGGGATGGGAAAATTCAGGAGAAGGGTCAAATTGGAGAGGGGAAGAAGAAATGAGCAGAGGAACGGAACCGACCAAGAAAAAGGGGAAATTTCAGGAAAGGGAGGGGCTGACTAGGGATTGGTTTAGCATGTCGAGGGGAGGACGAAACATAGGAGATCAAAGGGAAGAGGGGAGAGGTCCAGGGGAAGGGGAACAGACTAGGTGGGAAGACTTGGCGAAAGGCCAGACAAGGGGGCATGGGAACAGAAAAAACAGAAAGGAAAAGGGTAAGGGAGGAACGGAAACAGTTTTCCTGGACAGGGAAGCAAGCAAGGGAATGTGGCGAGGGGCTAAGGAAGCCATGTCTGGAAGACGTGGCGGGTTGAGAGTGAGTGCGTGGACGTGGAAAGGGGGAAATGCGTACTGGCACGGTTGGCAATGCCATGCATGCATCATAAATGCCAAGTGTGGCACGAGGGGCACGCGGGGAGTGACAAAGAGGGAGGGGCGGAAATGGGAAATGGGTGAAGAGGAAGGGAGAGGAGAGAAGAAGGGGCACAGCGGAGGGAAGGGATGGGTGCTGCCACATGGCAGCTTTCAGGAACAAGCCACAACACACATTTTATAGAACGACACGTTACAATATATAGATTAGCTAAACAAATGAGCCTACTGGAAGAGCTAATCTATGCGAGTATCAGCCCCTGCAGCCACACTACCAGCCTCAATCCTTCAATCCTTGAAGGACCCGAGCAAATGGGAGGCGAGCGGATAAGCAGAAAGTCAGCAAGGAAGCAAGGCAGCAAGGCCGCGTGTAGCAGTGCCACTCCATCCACCAGAGCAAACCAGCATTCCCAAACACCCTGACAGGCAGGGTGCAAAAAGTGTTGCTCCACCGTACCATCCCACTCTCCCCACCTCCCCCATGCCCCCAGGCCATGCCTGCTGCCTGTCCCTCTGCTGCTCCCCACTCCCATCCGCCACGCCCATCCACTGACTCGCCTCCCTCCCATCACACCCATTACACCCACCACCACCTCCCGCTATTGCTCTTCCCCCCCTTCCCCCCGCCACTCCCCCCTCGCGCACGGATGAGCGCGGGGTGGTTGCACACCTGCGCCATGGTGAGCCTCTCCGCCGCGCACACTCGCAGCATGCCGCTCACCAGCGCCCTGCACTCCTCCGACACGCCCTCCCACGCCGCTCCCTCCACGCGCACCCACCACGACCCATCCTGAGGCGCATCACCCGAGTACGGCCGCTCGCCCGCAATCATCTCGTACAGCATCACGCCCAACGACCACACGTCCGCCGCATACCCATACCCTGCCGCTTCTGTGTTCGTTGTTTTCCCTTTCCTTGCCGCCTCTTTCCCTTGCTTCGCCGCTTCCCCGGCGCCAGCGGAGGGCGGGCGGCAGAGGGCGAGGACCTCAGGCGCGAGGTACCCGGGCGTGCCTGCAGGAGCGGTGCACCCGCGCTGCCCGTCCGCCACCAGCTGCGCCAACCCAAAGTCCGCCAGCCGCACCGCCCCCGCTTCCAGGCGCGCGGAGGCAGGCGGGGAGGAGAGAGGCGCAGATCGGGCAGCGGGAGAGGTGCGGGCAGCAGCAGCAGGAGCAGCGGCAACGGCGGCGGCAGCAGACGGCGTGGGCGAGAAGAGGTCTCTGGCGAGGAGGATGTTATCGGGCTTGATGTCGCGATGCACCACGCCCCGCTCGTGACAGAACGCCACTGCTTCGCCCACATGCTTCAGCACCTCCAGCGCCTCCCTCTCCGCCAGTCCCCCGCCTCTCCCCCCTTCCCCGCTGCCCTTCCCCCACCACCTCCTCCCCGTGGCGTTGCTGGCTGCGGCCTTGCGTCGCTCCAGGAGCCCTCGGAGGTCGCCGCCAGAGCACACGTCGGAGAGCAGGTACCCGTGCTGCTCGCTCAGGTGCACCTCACGCACGCCCACCACGCTCGGGCACGCGCTCACCCACGCCGCCATCATCGCCTCGTTCGCCGCGGCCGCCAGCTGCGCGCGCGCCACTTTCTTCACCGCCACCTCCTCGCCGCTCTCCACTCGCCGCATCCGCTCCACCGTGCCGAACCCGCCGCGCCCCAACTCGCCAAGTCTTTCGAATTGATCGCGGTCGAGCACGCCATCGTACGCGTTCAGAACCAGCGGACGCGGACCCGCAAGCGGGGCGGCAGGCGCGTTAGCTATAGCAGGCGGCGGTTTCGCGGATCTCGCGACAGCGGCGGCGGAGTTTCCGGAGGCGGAGAGCGACGAATCGAGCGACGAAACGGAGTCGTCCGACGAGGCGACAAGGGCGATCTTAAACGGCGGGGTTTGGGACGGCGAGGTGGACGCGGGGGACGGCGCGTACCACGATGCCGTGACGAGACCTGCAAGAACAAACGCGACGGAGAAACGGTTGGCACTTGCGTGCTAACCTAACTCGCTCTCGCCTCTACCTGAAACTACAAGGGGTGCTGAAAAGCGGGAGAAGAGAGAGGGAGGGAAGGGGAGTCGAAGAGGATGGTTGTTGTTATTCACGTGGGGTTGGAAAAACCGGTTGAAGTATGTTTCGCGTCACGAAGTACTCAGAATGCTTACCTTCTAGCTTGCCGTCCTGGTAGGGCCTTTCAACATGGCCTTCGCTGGTCGAATTCGCCAGCGAATCGCACGAGAAGGCGGCATGCGCTACTGTCCAGCTGTCCATGACCAAGCAAGAGTCCATTCGCGACTCTAGCGCGATAGCTAGCGAAGCTCGGACCTTCTTTGGAATTGCGAGGTTTAAGAGTCTAATGAAGCAGGAGAGGTTCTGCGAGACGGTCACGACTACTGCTCGAGGCAGGAGAGCCAGCGCAAGACGAGAGGACGAAGAAGAAATGGGAGCAAGTGCAGAGCACGAAGATGAAACAGGTTCAAGTGCTGGTTTATGTAGACAAAGCTTGCAGCCACACGACGAGAGGTTGGGTGGGAGCAATCTCGAGGCAGGGAAAAGTGAGAGGCTGAGATGAGAATGCAGGGGTCTGGCAGGCTGGCAGGCGTGGGTTGCTGCGCGACTGCCTTCGATAACTTCTGGGCTCTGCGCTCCCACTAGGCGCGAACGCAACGCTTTCTAGGATTTCGAGAGCGAAACTTGCGGAGAGTTCCGGGCAGGGTTTGCGATGCCAAAATGGTATCTTCTCCGCTCGATTTGCCCTTGAAAAATCTGTCCAGCGAAGTTCCGGTCCTGCCCCCGCAAAAAGGAAAACGTCTCGCTGCGCTTTTCCCCAACGAAAACCTCGCCATCCGTGGCTGACTCGAACCGCAGCCGAACCGGTACCAAACCTAAATTCCCGAGGTTCTCGCCTAGCCGAAAAGCTTCTCAATATTGCGAATACATCTATAAAGCTTTTGCTATCCAGCGCAAACACAACCATCATTCATAAAAGTGAATCTGAGTAAATTTTGAGGGAATCATAATGAAATTATTTAAATCAAAACTCGGTTACCCTTTGACACAAAATCCTGGGCAATAAACAGATGTAAAATAACTTTTAAAAATCAAAAATCAATTACTGTTTTTGATCTGGTTGGTGAACTACTTGTTTTCTTGCATAATATTCCCTCATCCAACTCGAATCCCATATGTCCGATGTGTTGTGATATGATTCATACTTGTTGGAAATATCTCAAAGGACTTGAGCGTTTCTGAAGTGTAACAATGTACTCGAGGAAGATTACAGGGGAGCACGCGAGTCAACGGAGGTTCCACGAGGGGGCGGACAAAGAATGCGAAAAGACTCGAAAGGTCGCAACTGGAGGTCGCGACTGACCGTTACAACATCACGGATGGTAACCGAAGCGGCAATCGAGTCGCTGTGCGACTCGATAAACCGTTCCTGTAACTGTATTCTACAACTGCTTTCCTATCTTCTATATATTGCTGTATGCTTGTTTCTTCAATTAATCACTTGTTCTCACATACTAGTACAAGGGTTCAACTGCTTCAACCTCCGCTGCACTACTCAAAGTCTGAAAGTCTCTACAGCTGGGACTTAGTCTCTGCAAAAGATCCTAAGGGCTTTTCTCAGCCCAATAATACTTAGCATTTCTGTAAGTCGATTATCGATAGATAGTGTCGAATCCTACTGTAGAAGATAAGTCCGTAGGATGACGTCAGCAAATAGCGCTTGTCATGAGGACAGTCATTTCAGTCACGCGAACAATCGCATCTCTTCAGTGTCATTTACGGCACATAGCGCGATAGTATCAACAGATACATTAGCGAACAGGTACTTCTGTTAGATATAAAAGTAGCCTGTCTTCATTGTTTAGTTAACTTGTAAAAACTTGTAATCTTGGTTAATGTGATTCAGGCAGGCCCCCAAATTGCAGAATTTTTACTCTGATTCAGACCTTTTCAGAGTTTTTTTGGGGGTGTACTGTGATTGGGAAGACTTTTTTTTGTACCCTACTCTGATTTTTCAGAGAAGATTTATGTACCTACGCTGATTTTTCAGACGTTTTTTACTAGTGTACTCTGATGCCTCAACTCTGTATGGGGGGTCGACTCTGATTTGTGTAATGCCAGGTTTAGGGGGGGAGCGTGATTTACCTGTGGGGGGGCGCTGATTGGCCCTTAGCCAAAATCAGGGCGAGATGCGTGTTGGGGGCTTTGTGAGGGCAGTTATTGGCCCTTCACCCAAATCAACGGCCAATGCGTACTGGGGGCTGTGTGAGGGAGCTGACTGGTCCTTTACCAAAATCACCTCCCAGTTTGTGATGCGTGCGGTGTGAGGGGCCGATTGGCCCTTCGAAAAATTTGCAGAGGTGTGCCGCGGGCTGTGTGTGCGAGGGCGCCCATTGGCCCTTCACGAAATAGCCACCTGGATGCCCCCAATTTCCCTACCTCCCCTGCAATTTTGATTTGCCCACCCCCCAATTCCTTTCCGCCCCATCCTTCGATTTCGTCCCCCATTCGCAATTCGCCACGATCCGTATCTCCACCAACCGACATCGTCGCGTGCCTCAGGCACGCAAAATTACTAGACAAGGAACGGGGAGGGGGAGGGATAGAAACTCGTGAAAGACTCATCTAAATTTTTAAAATTCGTATGTCAGTCTGTCTGGGAGATTAGAAAAGTAAAAAAAAACTTCTGTCGGGCCTGGCAAGTGCGCTGTACAGTACAGCACAGCCTCGCCATGAGCCTCGCTGATCAACCACACCCGCACCGGCGCGGGGCCGGGCCTAGGGCGCCACGAAATTCCGCGCCGCCGCCAGAACACAGATAGGTAGCGCACGCGAGTGAAAGCCCCTCAAGGGAGAAGTCTGAGGGGCAGCGGTTGGGAAGGGAATGGAAAAGTAACGTGCAAAACAGTAACTTTGAAATCATAGCTAAAAACAATGGTAACTCTGATTAATCAGACAAATAAATTATTGTTACTCTGATTTTTCAGACTTTTTTTAAGGGGCGACTCTGAAGGCCATACCAAGAGATGGCAGGCAAGTCTGATGAATCAGACAAGCCCAAAACCAATTTGGGGGCCTGGATTCAGGACTTGATTCTGAACTTCTTCTTCAGTAAATTCTGGTTACTTCTCTAAAAGTTCTAAGACTTCCGCTGTCTTACTAGTCTACCATTCCAGTAAAGATCCTAGGCTAACACTTGAGGTTTTCCAAGTGTTCGTGTTTGCAGATTCTATACTTAGTCTCCTGCTACACCTGTCAAATTATTACATGGTATGAGAGCTGTCTAGGATTAAGACTACTGTCAACAATGACTGGAACAACACCAGCACAATCTACCGGATCTATTTTCGGAACTATTGGAGTATCTGTCTCCTCGACTGCCACTGATCTCTCAGCCTCTTCACCGTTTCCACCGGCTTATGCGCACATCGGTATGCAGCAGCAGCAGCAAAATCCTTCTTCTGTTAATACTCCAGGGACTTCATCGATTGCCCCTGCAGCGCAATAACAGTAAACACAGGCAACAACACAACAACAGGCAACAACACAGCAGTTTTCAACTCAGTCAATATCGTCGGCGTTTAGTGGAATGAGACTTGACGGTTCAAGTTACATGCGTGGAGCTCCAACTCCAAGTACTGGCTCATTTGCATTCTCACCTTTTACTCAGCAGCCGCAGTCTCAGCAGCAGCACCCCTTTTACATCTTTGGGCATTCACCTGCTCAGCAACAACAACAGCAGCATCAACAGCAGCATCAGCAGCAACAGCAGCAACATCCACAGCAATTTCAACAACAGGAACAGCCTCAACAACAGGGTATTGTTTTTCAGCTGCCGAATTTGCTTAACAGCATATAGATTAAGACCACTATACCTTTTAACGGAGTTGATTTTTACTGCAGGAGCTTCGATTTTGAACTTCTGGCGCAGTCTGCCGGGCTATGGCCGTTCTTCACCGGCGAGTTCACATATCCTGTTACGGGAACACAACTGGAGTAGCAGAGTTTCTTGCACGCCTCTCTCGGGGCGTATACGGTTCTCGTTCGAAACTTATCAGCAAAGGAGCAACTCGGCGTTCGATCTTTTCATTCCAGCTTTACGCCAACTAAAACCGCATGGAACTACTTAAAGGGGGTGTACATGGCAAAGGATACAATCACAGTGAGTAAGATTGTTTCGCAGCTGACAAAAATGCAGATGATGACCAACGAGAATGTCATGGATTACGTCAATCGTGTACGCACACTACGAGATCAATTGGAGAAGAGTGGTGGATACTTTCCTCGTGAGATGTATCTCACGGTCCTTCTTGCTGGACTTGGTCCCGAGTGGCGACAGACGCGCGCCTTCTTGCGCATGAACCCGAATCTCTCCGAAGCCGACATTTCTTCGTATCTTCAAGCAGAACAACAAGATCTTGACCTGCAGTCACAGCGCAATTAGGAAAAGGAGGTACAATTGATTTTTTACTCAAATCCAGAGCCGCAGCAACGGCTTCCCCCGAAGTATCCCTTCTGTCATTTCTGCAAGAAACCAGGACATACTTACCAAACTTGTTGCAGTCGACATCAAAACCGTCGCAGTTCTTCGCAACCGTATCATCGATCGCAGCAGTTATCGAAGTCACATCCGCCAACGCAGCAGTCAACATCACAGACGCAGCAGATGCAGAAACCACCGCAGAATACACCTTCATTACAGCATCGTCCTCCAGTTTTTCCATCTGCAACATCAGGCAAAGGAGTTTTTGGATGTGTTACGACAGTTGATGTTTCAGATACCGATTTCGAGACACAACTTGAAGAAACCACCAGTGCAGAGGGCATTCCCTTACCGCAAGTTTACGCTAACCTTGCTCGAGTCATTTCAGGACCCAATACTTGGTATCTCGACAGCTGTTGTGGTTGACATATGTGCTCCGCTGAAACAAGCTTCATCACCAATCAGCGACCACTTCGTCGTCCGATACCTGTAACATTTGCAAACGGAAAAACCATCATGGCCAGATCAATCGGGAGTGTAATGTTCGAGTCCGTCGACACGGGATATTCCTTACATGTTACCAACGTTCTTATTATCGCCGGCCTTGGTTTCAATCTTCTCTCTACAGCTCAGCTCCTGGCACACAAGATTCGCACACAAGGCAATTGTGATACAATGGATCAGGAGTTATGGCACAATTTGACAAACACTTACCTCGGTCGCGCTGCTACTCAACATGGTGCATCCGTTCTTCAGTTTACGGCACAGGGCACCTCGGGCAATTCTGACCGCGTCCTTGCTCTCGGTTCCTGGGATCATCTGGGAAACAGATGATCAACAAGTTGATATTGATTTTCGTGCAACTACTGTACCCACGACTTTTCGAACTGCAGCTGCCGTTCTTACCGCTCTTGATGCTCGGGAGTTCAATACCGCTGATGAACGCACCAACGCTTGGCGAACGT